CCCTCAAGCACACACCACCACCCATGAACTATTATTGTCAACAATGGAGCTTCACCGTCAACCCATGAATATATTTCCATCGTCAACAACTATGCACACGCCTCTTAACAACCGAGCATCTAGTGTAACTGCACCCTCCTTTGTCAACCCAAGGTTTTTGAATTTTAGATCTTATTTTAATTTAGATTAGACATTAAATCTAGGTTTGTTTATTTTAATTGTAATTTTTCTTTAATGTAATTGCAATTTTAATTTACAATTTTTAGATAATTGTATAATTATGTAATCTTTTCAAATTTCTGGAATTTTTTATGTATAATTTATGTTAATTCTGATTTATTAGTTTGTTTAATTTTTTAAATAATTGTGTTTGAATTTAATAATATTTCTGTATAATTTTTAGGATATATTATTTGTATAATTATCGGATTTTTATGTGTTGGTGGTTATTTTGGTAGTCGTGGTGGGGGAAAAAGGCTACGAGTTAGGGTGGTGGGATACGTGGTAGGGTGGGGTAGTGGTGGGATTTGTGGTAGGGTGGTGATGTTGGTCACGGGGTTTGGGCCTGGCGGGTCGTGGTTAGGGTAGTGGTAGCGGGTTGGGTCATGGGCACGTTATTGTTGGTTTCGTGTTCGAGTTCAAAAAAACATATCAATTATCAACCTAGCATTATTTGCTAGATTTTTTTTAATGCCGAAATTAAGCATTTGTAACTAACAATTGATATGTCAGTTACAAATAGGTGCCTATTTGTAACTGACATATCAATTTGTCCGTTACAAATTGTCATTTACAAATAGGGGCCTATTTGTAACCAACAATGTTCGTTACAAAATGACTAGACTATTTGTAACCCCAGTAGTTGTAACCCCCAATGTTAGTTACAAATAGCCCGTTTTTGTTAGTTACAAATAGCGTTTTTTCTACTAGTGATACCTTTTGTTGGCTGATATGCTCCTCTTGTTGGCTTATATGTATATTTTGTTGGCTGATATATTTCTCTTGTTGGCTTATACGTTTTTTTTTTATTATTATTTATGTCTTATATGTTTCTGATGTTGACTGATATCACATATCTATTAGCTGATATGTTCATTTGAATGATTGATATGAATAATGTATAAGCCAACAACCCAAAATGTATAAGCCAACGCCCAAAATATATAAGCCTAATATTTCATTCTCTATCCTCTCTCCCCTCTTCCTATCTTTTCCATTCATGTGAAAATGGAGGAACCTAATTTCCTCACAAATCGTGACAAATGCCTTCACTCCTCCTTCAATTAGTTCCTCACTTCCCCTGATTTCCTCCTCCACCTCACCCACCAACCCACCGAACCCACCAGCCGCAAGTCGCCAACCACCGTTCACCGATAACCCACCACCGTACCCACAATCAGTGAACCCACCACAAGCGAATCGCACCACCACAAGACGCTTGCAGTCGCCGGAGAATTTATTCTTCATCTCCTCCATCGTTGTCCTTGTCTCTATCAAGTAGTAATTCTCTCTATTTTTTTACAAAAAAAAATTGGTTTGGTTGGTTTAGTTTTGAGTACTATGGAATTCAGTGGCAGAGCCAGGATTTTTAATCCGGGGGGACAAATTTCAGATGTTCAATAATTTGACAAAAATCTCAATAAAAAATTAAAGTCACATAAATTTTTAATATTTAATTATTTAAAATTTTATATGACAATCTTTCCTTTATGGAAAAGAGAAGTTAAAAGTTCCATCGCATATTAAGATAATTACATAACTCAGGAATAAATTCAAATCAGTTACTTTATTATAAAATAAAATTAAATACTTAGCTGACCTTCAAACAATTTGATTATAGGTATGAAGGGGTTTGGGTGATAGGATTACATTCTAGAAAAATAAACGCCACAACAAACATTCTCTAATCAAATTGTTACATTGTACCCTGTGTATAAATAAATTTGGAAATTTAGTTACAAAAATTAATTAATGGTAATCTATTTAAAAAAATGAAATAGAATTTAGACACACATAATTAAATAAATTATAAACTATGGAGGTGTTTGTGTATTCATTAATGAAATGTATGAACTAACCCATTGGTGATCAACAAATAATAGTTAATCAATTTTTTTTTTTTTGAAGAAATAGTAGTTAATCAAATAATTAAATGAGAGTGGTTACGAACTTCAAGTTATAATACTTTATATAAATATAAAATTAAATCCAAATACAAGGGAAAAAAATGCAAGTATTAAATAAAATTCAAAAGAAAAAAGAAATAGAAAAAAAAAGCTACAGTATTATTAAATGAAATCTCAAAATAAGAAAGTACCATTAAATGAAATCTCAAAATAAGAAAGTACCAAATAAAAAAAATGTAAAATGTAATAGTTGGGGCTCGAACCTGGGTCAAAATAGAGCTGATCACACTGAGCCCGGCCTGATTTTGGGCGGGTTTTGGGCAGAAATTTCCAGCTCGACCCAATTTTAAAAAAAGTTTGAACGGGTTTGGGAAATGGATTTTTTGCATTGTAGTTGATTTTTTGGCCCGGCCCGAAAAAGCCCGACTAGTTTGGGCGGGTTTGGACACACGTTTTCTGGCCCAAAGCTTTGCCCGACCCGGCCCTGCCCGAGAAATGGGCAAATTTTTTTGACCTCGGCCCGCCCATTGATCACCTCTAGGTCAAAATGAGGAGGGGTAAAACCTATATTCACTCACTCTAACCACTAGACCATATTCACTTTTGTGATACATAGCATATATGTATTGTATTTATTTCTCTTTACTGCATCATACAAGCAAAAAAATAATAATAATAATAAAATTGAGTTGATGGAATTTTAATTGGATTGAGTTGAATTTGAGTTGATTAAGTTGAATTTGATTGAATGGAGTTGAATTTGATTCAATTGGGAAAATTGAAAGAATATGAGTTGCCGCACAAACTGTTGGGTGCGGATGCCCAATAGTTTGTGTTTACTTTAAGACCATCTCCAATGGCAAGATTAAGTTTTAGTATTGAAATACTAAATGAGTTGTTTTTTACCTCCAATGGTGATACCATACCAACTTCTTAATTTAGAAACTCATGTGAAATCTAATTCCCAAATGGTGAGACTCTCTAAAAATATACAAATGCCACTTTCAATTTATAACTCATCAAATCCACATTTTTTTAAATATCAAATATTATAAGATTTAAAATGAAAAAAGGTAAAATTTAAATAAATTACAAAATATATTAGAATATTAACAAGGACCCCACACTTTTTGTCAACAAAAACCTTTGCGTGCCCCCGGTTTACAATAATTTTATTGTACCTCGAACATTTTGCGAAAAAGTGACCCCTTTTTTTCCACAAAAGTGACCCTTTTTTTTTCACAAAAGTGACCTTTAAAGTGACTCTTTTTTTTCACAAAAGTGACCTTTTTTTCACAAAAGTAATTAAGCTACATATGCAAATTGCAAAACCGAGTATCAAAATCTCCCTAGTGTTTTTTTTTTCCGTTTTTTTTCAAAAGTAACCCATATTCTGTTTACTTTGATTCGAAATTTTCTGCTACTACTTTGATCTGTTACTATTGCTACTATTGTTACTTGATCTGTTGTGAAAGATGAACGATCAATTTCTATTCAATTTTTCTGTAAATTTAATAAATTCTCTTAATTCTATAACTAATTTTATAATTTCCGATCGATTTTCAGGACAGAGAAACCGACAAATCTAGAGGATTTGGCTTCGTTACATTCGGAAGCAAAGAAGAGATTGATGTTGCGATCGAAGGAATGAACAACTAAAAACACTGCAACGACCGTCAGAACACTGTTAACGAGGCTCAAGCTCGCGGTAGTGGCGGCGGCGGCGGCGACTTCCATAGTGGGTGAAAAATTAGATGAACATACATACCTCGAAATTGTCTGTAGAAGATGAATCATTGATCAAAACAGGAAAATTATGTTATAAAATCAAGATAAAATTGAAAAATAAGAAGGAAATTGAAGAACAAAGGAGAGAGAAAGAGAGAGAAGAAGTGCAGAGGAGAGAGAAGAAGAGAGATAAGAGCAGAGAGATGAAGAGCAGAAAAAAGATCAAATAGAAACCCATAAGGAGAGCAATAAAACCCTAGCCTTCTCTCTCTCTTCTCTCTCCTAAACTCTAGCCTCCATTATCAATTTTGAAGGGGCTTCCATCGGATTTCACCGGTGGAAAGCCCCAATCTTTATTTTCTTTTAAGCTTTTTGTTTCTTAGGTTACAATAATAATGTCTCCCTCGAAAGAAAGGGTCTATCTCCTTCGAAAGACAAGGTTTTTTTGATCTCCTTCGAAAGACAAGGTTTTTCGGACTCCTTCGAAAGACAAGGTTTTATTTGTGTTTAATTTGGTCTATGGTTGTGCGGGCTACGATTGATTATGGCTCGAATTCGGGTTACGGAATCAGCACAAGAATTAGCTTTCTCACAAAATTGCGAAGCGACGACGATTCCACTCAAAAAGTTGTATGAGACAACGAATCGAGAATGTGCCGAATTGTTATATTTATGTATTTGGATTCTTAGCCCTTCCCCGATTAATTCTTGTTTGATATTGTTAAATTCGTTTTCATTATTGTTAATTGTCAATTGTAGATGCTGTATGACTTTATTTAATGAAATTTAATGTCCTTTAAAACTTCTTTCAAAAAAAAAAAAAAAAAAAAAAAGAAACCCATAAAGAGAGAGAAAAATAGAAACTTATATAGTAAAACTTTGGCACGTGTAAACCCACTTTTTTTTTAAACTTTTGTGTTTTGTCAAATGAAACTCAAAATTAATATCTAAACTTAGCCACTTTCTTTTAAAGTTGTTAAATTTAAATGTCAATTTATTAATATACATTGCAAAAAATAGTTAATCTCTGCTAACAATACTCTCGAGTCTCACTAGAGCCCTCATAGACTTTCGTGCGATCATTCCCTCTATTTTAATCTTCGAAACCTTCCTTAAAACCTCCATTATAAGGGAAGAACACTAGTTATGAGAATCTTACGGAATCTCAGATTAGCTCATCAATCTTTCATTGCCCTAAATTCAAACCCTTTTCGCAGTCGATGCATGTATTTTCGATCGCTAGTCTCATCTTCATCTAATTTCCATGTTTCTGATTCTTCATGCACTTCTAATTACAGAAATTTACCTCACAATTATTTGAATTCCAAGCCATGGGCGCCATTTCTAGGTCAGATTTTGATATTTTTGTAAACCCCTGAATTGTGATGTTGATAAATAGGATAATTTGTTGTTTTTTTTATGATTGTTTATTTGTTTGGTTGCAATTATGATTTGTAGAGTTTGATGGGTGTTTGTTATAGAAATGAATTTGATATGATGATAATGTGAAGAATGTTTGATGATTTATGCTTTGTTAACATCAATTCAATTATTTTTGTAGAACCCTAAATTGTGATGTTGATAAATTGGATAATTTGTTTATTTGTTTGGTTGGGAAGAGTTTGATGGGTGTTTGTTGTGGAAATGAATTTGATATGATGATGATGTGAAGAATGTTTGATGATTTATGCTTTGTTAACATCAATTCAATTATTGAACAGGTCAAAGGAGGACGATGTTTATTCAAACGCAGCCGACTCCAAATCCGGCATCCTTGATGTTTTATCCGGGCAAGCCAGTAATGGAAATCGGGAGTTCGGACTTTCCGAATGCTCGTACTGCCATGAATTCACCTTTAGCAAAAGCACTTTTTGGGATTGATGGTATGCTTGTTAATTTGTAGGAGTATTATTATTATTAGTAGTATTTAATATTATGTTATGATGTTATAGGAAAATTTGATATATACCTTATAATATGTATACACTTGACATTACTTATTTAAGTTTAAAGCAAAAATTCAATTGTTTGGCAAGAAACCTTAACCCTAATTTTTGGCTTGGAGTTGAATTTGGAATTGGAAGTTACAATTGTGTGATTGAATTGGAGTACAAGGCATTGTTTTCATTTGTTGGGTTTTTTTTATCTTATTTTATTTTATTTATTTTTTTTATCTTATTTTTTTTTTTTTTTTTTTTTATTATTATTATTATTATTATTTCTCAAAAACAAAAGTCATATAACCTACAATAAACTAGTGGGAAGCCGAGATACAATCTGGGCCCCCACTCCTCTAGCTATAGCAAAGCCTACCCTAGTGAAAATATGAGCTGCCGCACGAACCCTAATGTCTTGCGTCGTCGTGAACGCGCTTCAGCAATGCAGCTTCCTTCTGTAATTCCCCAAGAGAAGGAAAGGAGAAGGGAATGAAACCATATCCATTCGCCCGACGAGATTCATATTTAACCCGCTTCCGCTGAGCCGCTTCAACCATAACCCGTCCAGGAACAAAATCAGCTAATGCAAAATTGTTATTATTATTATTTATTTTCTAATGCAAAATTGTGGGACGTAGATTTCGTTGTTGTGTTGGCAGCAGAATTGTTGTAAAGTGGTTGGAGTAGAGGGAACAAGGTAAACTGGTAAAGGCTGGCCTGCTTGTGAAGGCTGTAGATTTGGACAAAGATGACTGATTGTGGTTGGGAGAGACGGACGCACGGACAGGCAAGGCAAAACTGCATGAAGGTTGTGCTGGTCAGTTGTTGCTGCCTTGCTGGCGTATCTAGTGGACTGTGGTGGTCGCCATGAACGGGCCATTAGTTGCTTTATTCAACATGGTAGGTTAGTACTTTTAGGATTAAGGTTAGAAATCACTTATTATATGGTTGGGTTAGTCGTAAAAACATCAATTAAGACACCTTAATGATATATTGTTAAGAAAGTTTTTCAAAAAACAGTGTTTCTAAAACACTAGGCCTCTATGTAGAATTTCCAAAAACGCTACACATTGAATTAGAATTTAGGTCTGTTACACAACTAGTTTAATGAGAGTACTTCTACAAACATGCCATGGGTTTTGAGAATCCTGTCAGCATTTTCCACTTTGTGATTCTTTTGTTTCACTTGTAAAATTCTACACAAAGCCGGAGGCGATCAATCTACCAAGCCCTTTACCACCGTTTATCCCTTCTACCTTGATTGGTTATGGGCTAACCAGAATTGAAGTGGATAATTTTGATGGTTGATCTTCAGTCAATTTATAATTTAATCAGTTCAATATAGATTATTATCTAACTTAGCTGCTCCAAAAACTTCAAGACACTTGTGCTTCCTGTCCAAAACTTCAAAGTTCAGTGGCTGCAGTGAATAGAGTGCTTGAAATCTTATCTTTGAACCCCATTTTTCTGTACTCAAGATTAAGCTAAATCGGTTTTTGGGATTGTTAATTGCATTTTGGAAGACAGTCCCACAACCCAAACATACTTAACAAGCTGTATGGGTGGAAATCCCATGATCTTGCAGGATCCCTATTCACTTACCACACTGAGAGACTCCAATTGGTACCTTAGAGAAGAAGGATGTGGGATCAAATAACTACATTGGTATAAAAGTTAGCCTTTGGTGACCACTATAAACTGGCCGTGAGTTGCTACGTGGGCAAGTTTAGTCAATATGGGGTGCTAACTAGCAGCACGCTAGTAATTTTAAAATCAAGGTTAGAAATCACTTATTATATGGCTGGGTTAGTCGTAAAAACACCAATAAGTACACCTTGATGATATATGCATTACCTGATTACCATGAGGCCATTCAAGAAAATAAATAAAAAGATGTCTCCAAGTGGACTTTCCAAAACCACGAGGCCATCATGTAGAATTTCCATAAAATACTACATTGGGATGGTATTTAAGAATGTCCCACAAATAGTTTAATGGGAATACTTGCTACATACAGTCATACATACCATGGTTTTGAGAATCATATAAGTATTTTTCACTTAGCAATTATTGTGTTTGGCTTGTAAACATGGTTAGGAAATGCGGTAATGGGTCGCGGTTATCAGAGATTATACAATTATTGTGAACCCGGTTTTAATTGTTGCGACATGCATGTGGTTTGTACTTATAAAATCATGATTTAAGAACCAATGATACTGTCATAGTAACAAAAATCTAGTATATTCCTGAATTTATTAATGTTTAAAGCCATCCTTAAGAGTAACAAGTCGAGGAAAGTTCAATAAAATTATCTAAAAGCTATGTGTCAGAGTGGTAGCACCAAATATCAGCCGAGACCATAAACTATCAGTTAGTCTATTTTAAAGTTTGATACAATGCAGAATATATCGGTGTGGTAAATTTGAAAACAAATACAACTCTGACAGTACGAGAACGTTGTGGCCGATTTTTTACACATGCCTGTAAAATCCTACAAACAGCTGCAGGCGATCAATCTGCCAAGCGCCCAAGCCTTTTATCACTATTTTACCTTGTTTAATTTAAGGGGTAACCATAGCTAAAGTGGTTAATCTTGATGGTTGATGTTTGGTGACTTTATAATTAGGGTAATTAGCTCAATATAGAGTATTATCCAACTTAGCTGCTCCAAAGCCACTATTTCTTCCTGTCCAAAACTGCAAAGTTCAGTGACTGCAACGAATAGAGTGCTGGAATCTTATCTTTAAACCCTATGTTCTGCTGCTCAAGATTAAGCTGAAGCAATACTCGGTAGCACCCTTTTAAAACATAGTTGGAGATGATGTTTGATGAGTAAAGAGTGTGGGGTCATAAAGCTTCTGTTTAGGTCCCTTTTTCTTTCCAAGCTTAAAACTGTCTTCTTTAGTTTCTAATTCTCATTGTCAAGGCTTGTCTGTTGCATTAATCACCTACTGCTTTTGGTATGAAATCCATTGGAGGATTTTGATTTTCTTAGCTTGCCTTCATGATGAATGACATCCTGCACATCTCATGAATGTTGCTAGATATTTTGGCTATGATCACCCGCTGGCTTCTGTTGCCGTTGACCTTGCTTTATCATCTCTTGTTTAACTTTTATCTTTGCAAGAGCGATTAGTCTTGTTATTTTTTTGGCACTTGTGAGCAGATTGGTCGAAACCTCCCTATGAGTATAATTCCAGGCTCTCGTCTAGTTAGATATTTTATAGTTATCCAAGTTTTTGTAAAGGTTAAAAATTCTTAAATTCATTAAGCATCATATTAGAAAATCCAATTTTTTAGCCAAACTGTCTTTGTATTTTTATTTATTATAATTATTATTCTTAATGTCACTGTTATTAAAATTAAGCTTTTAGTAAGATTTTTGAATTCTGATTGTTAGGATTTACCGGCTTATAACAGGGTTTCTTGTATTGACTTGTAAGGGTTTTATAATCGCTTAAAAATGAATGTTATCTTTTTTCTATGGGAATGAATCTTCTATCTTTGGATTCTTTTTTACATATATATGCTGGTAATTTACTGGCCTCTTTGGGTCTTTTAAATTTCTCGGTAACTTTGTCTCTAACGAATTGTTGTTGACCTTAAAGTGATGGAGTCTCTCTTTCTCTCAAAGGAGTCAAATTTTCTTGTTGGTTCTTGCTTTCTGTTTGATAACCATAACAAGCATCATTTATATTGGCCGAGTTACCGAATGGCTTGACCCGCTACAGTGAAATAAGCCTTGCTTCTTTGACTGTTTGACATGTGATAGTGTTTTTTGTAACCGTAGCTCTTACTCATTTTACAGGAGTTACACGAGTCTTCTTTGGATCAGACTTCGTAACAGTAACAAAGTCTGATGATATTACATGGGATATTCTGAAACCGGAGATATTTGCTGCAATCATGGATTTCTATACATCTGGTCAGCCATTATTTCTGGATGAAAGCACTGCAGCTTCCAAGGACACAGCTATCCATGAAGTAAGGCTTGTACCTTCCAGTTTCTCAAATTCTATTTTTCCATTGAGGTCTTAATAGAATTGTGTGCATAATTTGTTCTAATTTATGTCATGCTGTGATTTAAAAGTTACCCAAATGTTTATAAAAGGGTCTTTCTTAGGGTGGGGTGGTAGCTTGATTTTTTTTTTTTTTTTTTTTTTTTTTTTTTTTGGGGGGGGGGGGTGGGGGTGGGGGTTGGGGGGTTTGGGGGGGTGTGGTTTAGATGTATGTAGACTGACAACAAGGTTAGTAATCCGCAAAGTCTTTTGCTAGAGGTTTTGGTTAATGCTACCGTAATTAAATCTATTTATGTACTGCATTTTCTAGCCCTGTGTAAAGGTAACTTTATTCTTTATAGTTGCAACCTGTGGGGGAGGGGGGATACGTGTGTGTGTGTGAGAAATGAGAGTAATCTAGCAGTCACCTTGATTCATAATTATTAACTTATGTTGCAGGATGATTCGGAAATTGTTGCTATGATAAAAGAGCTATTGGAGACTCGCATACGGCCTGCAGTGCAGGATGATGGTGGTGACATTGTGTATAAAGGATTTGATCCGTATGTTTCTGGTTCTCTGCATATAATCTGTTACTATTTTCTTTGGTTTAACTTTTTATTTATTTATTGTAAATGACACTTCTTCGTTTCTTTTCAGGGAAACTGGAATAGTCAAACTGCAGATGCAGGGAGCATGCAGTGGCTGTCCTAGTTCGTCTGTGACTTTAAAATCTGGCATTGAGAACATGCTAATGCACTATGTGCCTGAGGTGAGCCTGCCATTTCTGTCCATTTTGATTGACTTCACCCTACTCTGTTCTTGCTTATTACTTTCACCGTTTTTTTTTTAATCGCAACATATTCCTTTTTTGGGAAATTGCAAATTGATGCAACATAATTGGACCAGTGATTCTCTCTCTCTCTCTCTCTCTCTCTCTCTCATCTACTCTGATATCTTACTCTAAGGATTATAAGCTATAACATAGAGTAGTATCTGTTTCTAACATTTGGCTGTAGATATCAAGCAGTGGTCCAAATTTCAGCTCTTCTCTCTCTCTCTCATATCTTTCAACATAGACTAGTATCAGTTTCTAACATTTGGCTGTGGATATCAAGCAGAGGTCCAAATTTCAGCACTTCTCCTTGGAACTCTTCTGTTTATAAGGTCTTTAAATGGTCAAATCTATGAAAGTTTAATCTGCAAGTTGGTTCCCTCCCTTGCATTAAAAATTTTCGACCTCTTCTACTTCAACAGTTGAACTTCACTTGTTCAATATAGGTTAAGGCTTCACCTTGTAAGCCTTGTTTTCCATGGAAGCAGGTTTCTCTGCAATGGCTATAGCTTGATAACTTTGGACTGTACAATCTTGCTTCTTTGACAGGCATGGAGATGCTTCATAATCTAGTGTAAATGAAATTGGCTCAGTTTCTATGTGTGTGACTTATCATCCTTCGATTGATAGGGATCCAACAGAAAATGTAGTAACTTCAAATGCTCGACTACCTCTTAAGAAACTTGACTTGGATGTTGCACAATCTTCAAGAAAAATCATTTTTGATGCCTGCTGGGCAGATTCGATCTAGTAATTTTAAGATTGAACAACCTATCCACTATATTTTTATTAAACTTCCTAGTGTGCCTTCTTAAATCCACCATCCTTGTACTGCTCCTTTTTAGTAGTTTGAAGTAGAAGTGTTTCAGAATTGCAATTCTCCATCCTGTACTTCTTTAGATGCTCTTTTGCAATTTTTAGAAGCACCACATCATTTCTCTATATCAAGGGTTATGGTTGGGATTGTTTCCATTAGTGAAAAATATATACTCTTAATGTATCTCCATCATTGTGCCTCTTAGTTTTTAAAGTATAGCATATACAAAGATGTCCTTTAAAGCCTTGCACCCAAAAGACTTATTGATCTTGTAACACTAAGTTGTCAATACTTGCTTGAGGCTTTATAGATCCTCATTGAGCTTCAAAATTTATGTCTTGTTCTTCATCTCAAATCTTGGTGTAGCTTTGCATTGCTCTTGTCTTCAAATATCAGTCAATGAATGCATGCCAAATTCATCCACTTTTTTTTTTTTTTTTTTTTTTTTTTTTTTTTTTTTTGTTTGTTTGTTTGTTTGTTTGTTTTTGTTTGTTTGTTTTTTTTTTTTTTACTGTACTATCTTTGTAGGTTCTAAGATATGGATCCCGGTGAGTGCAAATGTTTCATTATATTCTGTTGCACGTGGTTTGTGCGACTGTGCCCGGGCCATTGCAAGAATTACTTTGTCCATTTATGATTTCAACAATAATGCCAGCATAATACGTAGTATTAGGGCATGTTCACTTCAGCTTAATTTCAATTCAGTTCAGCTCCAATTAGTTCAGTTAGTTCCTAATTTCCTTCACTCATAAAATATTCATTTTAGCTTTATTCAGCTCAATTCCAATTAGTTCAGTTTAGCTCAGCTCAGATCCTTAAAGGAGGTTCATTTCTGTATTTAAGGAATGGAAAAGAATGGTCTTGGGGTTTTTTCTAGTGTCGTATCATGAGGTTATGGTTGGGAATTGCAGCGACCCATTAAATAAAAGATCCTTTGTTGCTTTGAAATGTTGCTGATAAAACTTGATTTATTGCGTTGTGACTAGTGACATGTTCATTGATAGAAGGAAATTTTGTCTAGAATTACCCTAAAGACAGGTCGTTTTTTTTTTATTTGTTAAGAACTATCCAGAAGTTAAGAAAAGTTTGGATAGCACTACCCAGTAATGTTTTCCGTCCAAAAAAACGTTAATAGGGCCTACATTTTCACTTTTCCCACTTAATTAACACCCTTAATTACCTTCTCTCTCCTCCCTAATTAACTTTTCCCTAAACCCTAGAAATCAAAACTCCTTAGTAATTAAAATGCAATTGAATTCAATCTCAAAGTCAAAATAACCAAAACCTAAAACTCAATTGAACCCCTAAACCCTAAAAATCAAAACCCCCAAATTTTTTGAACCCATAAACCCTAATCCGAATTTCTATATTACACCCTAATTATGTTCATTGCGTTCAATTAAAACTTGTAAATAGATACAACAAACAATGAATTAAAAGTAAAGTGTAAAACATTACATGAATAATTGAGAATTTGTGTTCGATTGAATGAGTGTGTTCTCTTGGATTTTGTAAGTGAGAATGGAGGGAAAGTTAATTAGGGTGAAAAGGTAATTAGGGTAGTTAATTAAGTGAGAAAAGTGAAAAAGTGGGTTCAATAACGTCTTAATTGGACGGAAAACGTTAATAGGTAGTGCTATCTAAACGTTTTGTAGCTTTCGGATAGTTCTAAACAAATAGAAAAAAAATTGGTAGTTGTTTACAAATGACCCTATCTTTAGGATAGTTCTAGACAAAATTTCCTTAATAGAATCTGTGTTGGAACTCGGAAGTGCCCTCATAATATTATAATATTGGATTTGATGTTGAGTTTGTGATACTTTCAGGTGAAGGGGGTGGAACAAGAGTTGGATGATGAGGAAGAAGAGGCTGTTGCATTGGAATAGAGCTTCTTGATATTTCATTTATCCAAACCCTTGAAATGATGGGAATTGAGGGTCAATGGATTTGTATCAATCTGTAAACAAGGGATATCTTTTCTGTTGATTGAGTTCAAAAGCTACACAGGTAGTATATAACTATATATCTCTATTTGTCAATTAGTCTCCCTTCTGTTTTTTTTTGGGTCATCTTTTTATAATAAAATTTGAGAACATGTACATCATACATTTTTGTTCAAATAATTACTGGTCTCTTTCTTGAATCCTGGTTTGCGTAGCTCTGCTGTTTCAGGCTATACAGTTGATTGTAGATGTAGATGTGCTAATGAATGGTAACTTGTTTACTCTTATTTGAAGCAGCTCAAAAGTTTTGTAGGACATGCAGCAGTGAGCAATATGAAATGGTTGCGTACGTGCCTGCTTTCTTGCTTTACATTAATACTACTATCAAATGCTGGACATTCTTCACTCTTGGTACTGCTGTCAAAATAATAAGCGATATCTACTGCTAAGACTTATGATACGATGATATCTTATGTTTTTCATGTACTGTAAATCTGTAATACTTATGTTTTTTTGAGGGGTTTACCATAATCAATGGACCAAGGTTAATCTTAAAGCTGCCATCAAATGGACTTCAAAATATCGATTTTCGATGGTTTTTGGTTACATTAGGCATAGTTTAGATCGAAGGTGTAAGTTTCTTTACTTTTATTAGTTTAGTACTTTAGTATGCTAGGGTTTAATTAAGTTTGTTTCTTGGCTTCTGTCACAAAAAAAAAAAAAAAAAAAATGTTTCTTGGGAAAACTTGTTAGCCTTGGTTCTCTTCATAGTCAAGGGATTACTTTTCGTTGTTTGTTTTGGATGGGTTGCCCATGGAATGCATTAATTAAATGTCATACGTTATCTACAAATAAAATCTAAATTCAACAAATACACAAAAACAAATTAAACAAAGGTTTTCTTATTTGTTGAATAGATCTTGCACTATGCTACATCTCTTGCACACATCGCTATAATATACAACCTTTTTAAAGACACGATCTAACGATTCTTTGTATCGAAGAAAATGAATTTAATCTGATTCATTTGAATGTCCTCGAAAATTTAAGAATCTTTGTAATCCCCAATGATTCTTTACCAACAAACTAATCATAGGGCAAAAGAAGATAGATTATGTTATTAAGCCCTAACATACAATAATTTCCTAAAGGGAACGAACAACTACACCAATGAGTCAACGACCAACAACTCCATCATAGGATGACTGGGACATTTATACTCTACTCGTGTAGTTTCATTGAAATTAACAAACAAAAATTTAATGAAACACAAACAAAGAAAATGGGTCGAAAATAGTCAAAGTTACAGACTATTTTCGGCGTAACAGCCAAACACAGTTCAACTGTATCGGGTAATTTGTGTTACTAGCTTATTAATTTTGTAGAGGGGGGAAGGGGGGTGTTTAGAGTTTGTTTCAATTCTCCTCTGAGTTTGGTTTCTTGGATTTACATCTTTTGTTGAACATTAAAGGCTCAATTATGTTGTTTTCGAGATTGTTTGACGCGCAATTACCTTGACTTTAAAATTATTCATACCAAATAGCGCCCCATGCTAATGCATGTGTTTAAAAAAACGACTATTTCATCAAATGCTGCTAAGTACTTAAAAAATTCACCAAATGTATCAAGGTTTTCAAAATTCATCAAATGCCACCGAACTTTTAAAAAATTCACCAAATGCCATTAATGACTAACGGGCGTTAACTCCATTAGTCATTAAGATTAAATCTTGACACGTGTCATAATATGATTGGTTCATTTTAATTATTTATTTTAATTAATTAAAAAGATATTATTTTTCTTCATTTTCGTGGCAAAAATTGCTCGGGTATAGTTTTGGGGGTCATTTTGATTCTTTATGGATACAAATTAAGCTCGGAATTGACAAAAAAATAACGTAAATGCTCCGTTTTGTGTTTTGAAAAATATTTCGATTAGCGTGTCGTTATTTTTTAACCATCAAAATTGATCAGGTAAGGTTTTGGGGGTCATTTTGACCCTTTATGGGTACAAATTAAGCTCAAAATTGACAAAAAAAAGAATAACATAAATGCTCCGTTTTGTGTGTTGAAAAATATTTCGATTAGTGTGTCGTCATTTTTTAACCATTAAAATTGATCGGGTAAGGTTTTGGGGTCATTTTGATCCTTTATGGTAACAAATTGAGCTCAGAATTGAATAAAAAAAACATATATGCCCCGTTTTGTATGTCGATATCGTAATTTTTTTCGGAAAAAATGCGAAACAGGGTATTTACGTTTTTTTTACCAATTTCGAGTTTAATTTGTACCCATAAATGGTCAAAATGACCCCCAAAACCTTACCCAAACAATATTCATCACGAAAATAAAAAAAACATATTATTTTTATTCATTAAAATAAATTATTATTGTGTATTAATTAAAAAGTAATAGCATTTGGTGAAATAATTTTCCAAAGTAATGGCATTTGGTGAAATAAGAATTGCATTAACGAAAAACTAACGTCCATATGCTATTAGTGGCACGAGGTGTCATTGTATTGTTAGTCAGTGACATTTGGTGAATTTTGAAAACTTTGTTGGCATTTGGTGAATTTTGTAAGTAATCAATGACATTTGGTGAAATAGCCGTTAAAAAAACAGAAAAAATAAAAAACTTATTTTTCTCAAAATAAATGGCACCTTTGACTTTTTTGACTAACATAATAAAAACCATATTTTATCATAAAATATGCTGTTAGGTAGGTATTAATATAAAATTTCATAATATAACTTTTTTTATATTAATTTTCATTAATATTTTATTACATAAAAACACGGTCAAACTAGTGCATCAAAATATATACTAAGTTTGACTGTAACAATTATTTTGGGACGGAGGAAGTATTAAGTATATATGCACACTAGCACATAGCCTTTAATACAACAAAAAATAGGCTTAACTACATATTTTTTGTGTGTTCTTTTTGTGAACTGCTAAACAATGCTCCCATTTTACAGGGCACAACTCCCTTTTTGACATGGAAGGACGATATTGTCCTTTGTGTAAGTTGTAATATATAATGGTATAATATCATTCTCGACCCCTCCACTTACTACCACGTGGTAAAAAAATATTTCCCCGACACCACCACATCCGACCCCAGCACATTCAACCCACCACCAAAATCCAAGTTTTTTTTTGTAAAAAATTTATTAAGCATTAGCGACGGGTTTACGGCAATGGACAACGACAATGTTTTAGCACCAGAGGCTTCGTCGGAGAATTCTCTAAGTCGTCGTACTTTTAAATAAAAATCGAAGTAAAACATCCGCCTAAAAAATTAGGTGGATCTAACTTTTTGGGCGGATGTAATTTTTTTTTGAATTGATTAATTAATCAAATTTATTATTGTAATCTTTGTATTATTATTATAATTTTTATTATGATTATTATTAATTTTGTGATTAATTGAGTAATTAGTATTAGTATTTTTATTATTGTTGTGATCAATGTTGTTGTTTTTTATTTTTTAATAATTTTAGAGATATGAAAATGAGAAAGAAGTTACGGGACAATTGTGAGTTCATAAATGAGAAATGAGTGTGGTGAGTGTCGTGACTAATTATTTACGAGGGGCAAATACGAAAGTTCGTATTAAAATGCGAGCGGTACCTTGTAAAATGGGAGCATTGTTTAACACCCCCCATTTTTTTTTCTTATTATATGGAAAAAAACGCGTATACTTATTATATACTCCCTCTTTTGTTTTCCAAGTGTTATACTTTGACCGACACATAATTTTCGGCAAGTACAAGTTCATGCCCCAAATTTGCGAAATTCGTTAATTTGATGGCATGAATTGTAAATAACATACAAATGCGTGCCCCTTAGTTCAAGCAAACCAACAACTCACCACAACTCCGTTAGATTGGATTTTGGACGCCAACTTTATGCCAAGTACAATAGCTGTTTGTTGCATGTTAACACTTGTTAACTATGGTTAGTTACTGTACACCACACTAGCAAATTTGAAACGTACATGCATTATTGCCCTGAGTTGCCCATCAATAAGAGAATGGAAATGGTATTGCCCTTTGTAGCGATTATCAAGCTATAAGTGAATTTCTTCCTTGAGTTTATTGTGTTTTCATGTATTGTGAGTTGATTTATATTGTAAGATGATTAAAGTTACTCAATTTTGATTGTAGGCGGAAATGGTAAAGCAACGGTAGCGATTAGCAAGCTTCAAGTAAGTTTAACTTCCTATCTCCTTTATTGATTATAATATGGTTTGATGTATAATAAGTTGATTTATGTTGTAAGTTTATTAAAATAACTAAAATCAAATTTTAGGTAAATCTGTGTTGAACTATATATGGATTATATGATTATGGATGAAGCAATAATAGAGGAAGATGTTATTACTTCTTGTAGGGAATATTTCAAGCATTACCCCAAACTTGAACCCCACTGTGATCATACACTAAAGCACGGTGGCGTCCAAAGGGAAAGAAGATAGAGCAAAAGAGTCGCCAACAAAATTTAGGAACTTGTAAACCGTTCACAAGGTGAAGGTTACACCCCTTAACGATCCAGGAGATCGTCAACTCCAATAGGTCTGGAACCATGACTGGGGTTCGAGGATGAAGGTACAAATCCAACCTAAAAGAAATTCAACCTGCCCTAATAATAGGCCTCTACTTTATTCTGATCGTATTCATGTGCGCTTTTTGACTAACATGCAATCAATAGAATTAACCCTAAACCTGGTTAATCTATGTTGGTTGAATATTAATGCACAAACAAAACTATTATTGGCGATCACTTGAACTATAATCATATTAACCCTAAACAAGATTATTAATTATCTTATTAAGCGTGATTACAAGTACCAATTCCCTTTAAACATGCATAAAAGGTGTGATCAAGCAATAACAATAAATATAATCAAGCAACATAATAATAATCATAATAATAAAAATAATCATGACAATAATAATAATGTTAAAGCATAATATTAATAGCAAGATCCTAGGCATGATACTAACAAGAGTAATAACAAACCCTAGCATGTCACTAAACATATAAAAATCAAAGCTTTAGCCCTAACATGATACTAACATGAATATTAGGAAGAGAATAGGAAGCATCGCAGGAATCACAATTGTCATATTTGATATTAGAAATTTTAGTTATTACCCTAAACATGATACTAGGAAGATCAAAATACCCTAACATGACACTAGGAATCATAATAACAACCTAGACAAGATTTCTATATCAATAAATCAATTAAAGCATTTACTTGGATGCCTCGTACCTCTTTCTAATAACAAAATACACGCGTTAGTAATTTCAAGGAAAATAATAAACAAACAATTAAATTAAATAATTGAAATAGAGATTTGGGACCAAACCCTCAGAAATTAAACCTTACACGTCTAGGGTGAAGGCAACTTCGAACTTGGCTAGGTGTTTCTAGATCTTGTGAATGCGGATTTTTTGTATGCAAAAGGCTAGTTTAGAAAAGAGAGAGATAAAATAAGCTTTAGCTTAGAGAGAGAAGAGAATTAGAGAGAATAAGAATTGACGAGAATTGATGATTGAAAACAGAATTTTAGGAGGCTATTTATAGAGAAAATCAGCCGGATGCGATAAAAAACGAATTAGAGTTTCGAAAAGAATAAAACACAACCGCAGCGCCAAACACGCGCGTGGCGCCAAATGTTGGACTCTAGCGCCAGACGTCAGACGCTAGAAATAAATTTCCACGCGTTTTCTTAATTTGTTAAAATTTAGCCGTACAAGAGGGCAAAATCGTATTTTCCTTA